TTTTTATTTATAAAAAATAATTGATATATGTTTTTATTCTACACATTTTATAATAAAATTTTATTATTTTTAAATTTAAATTAAAGGAGGAAAAACTGAAATCGGTAAATTTTAATAACTAAATTAATGAGTGTTTATAAAGTGCATTGAACCAAAAAAATATATCAATAATTATCCTTATTTATATACATATTTTTTATTAAATGTTCACTTAGATTAAAAAATTTTTCAATTGTCATTCATTTAGTATATAAAATCATAAACTTAATTTATATAAAGTTGAAAAATTAAGACAATTAAAAAAAGGTTAAATGCTAATTTTGATCCCTCAACTTTAGTGAGTTGCACATTTTTGGTCCCTTAACAATTTTTTGCACTTTTTTGATCCCTCAACTCTAAGAAATGTACACCGTTAGTCCTTCCATCAATTTGGGCCGTTAATTCCGCCCATGTAGCATTTTTTATATTTTTTTTATGATATGGCGAAAATAACTTTAAAAGTATTGATTTGAACCTTTTTTTGATGACATGTCAACGTCAACTCATAAACTAAATTTGATTAGCATTTATATTTTTAATAAAAAATTTAAAAAAACTACAAATTTACCTTAATACCCTTGTCTCCCTTTTTCGATCCATTTTCTTCCCCTTTTTCGATCCACTTCTTCCTTTCTTTTTTCTTTTTCTTTCTTCCTCTTCTTTCTTCCTTTGTGTTACTGGGTTCCCTCAAACCCAGTTAATATGGGTTCAAAGGAACCCAGCTCAAGTTCAATACCCATTTGTTGGGTTCCACCGAACCCAGCAAACTAGGTTCCACCGAACCCAGCAAACTAGGTTCCACCGAACCCAGCAAACTGAATTCCATTGAACCTAGATTTGCTAGGTTCGAGGAACCCAACAACTACGTTCGATGAACCCAGCTCCACTTTTTTTTTTTGTTATATGTTTGTTGCGAATAGTTTATGCAAATTGCAGGTTGTAAGGGATTTTTAGGATCCTTTTCTTCATATTTCCTAAGTATTGTCTAAATGATTTCAATGTTCAAAATGAAAAGAACATCGCTGACGATGGAAAGAACAAAAGCAGTGGCCGATGGGCAAAGAAGCAATTCTTAGTGGGTTTCCATTTGTTTGGCTAGAAAATTGTATAGTTTGGGTGTATGGATGTTGAGAAAATGCTTTTAATCTGTTTGATTACTGAGAAAACTATAATGTCTGTTAAAGAAAATTTGATGAAAAAATTGTGATTTAATTATAAATTAATTTAGAATCTCAATTTTGATTAACATAAATAATTATAGTTTAATGATGATTAATGAGTGAAATTTGACTTAATATTATTTTTTATTCATATAAGCATTTAAATTTAATTTAATTTGTTACATCATTAAAAAAATATAGAAAATATCACGTAATTTGCCATGTCATCAAAAGACATCTTTCTGTTGACTCAATGTACTCCAAGAGGGGGGTGAATTGGAGTTCCAAAAATTCTCCCCTTTTTCAACTATAGAACCAAAGTTAAAGAGAGTAAAGAAGAAGAGCTTGCACAATGAATTTATAAAGGTTCGGTCCAACCACTTGGAGCCTAGTCCTTTACCTTGGCTTCACTCACCAAGGATTTCCTCCACAGTCTTTACTAAGAAAGACAAGGGTGGCTTAAAGGAGCCACTCAATCCTTTTACAAAAAGATGAGTATTTCTTTCAAACCTCACCCCTTTACAATGTAAACCCCACGAATCCTCTCAATAGATCACTCTTGAAGGAATAATCACACCCCCAAGAACATACACTAATAGAACAAGAAGAGGATTACAAGCAAAGATCACTCAAAGATCAAAAACTCAAGTTAAAGCTCAAGTAGGTAGGTAAAGATATTCAATGCAATGTTCTCTAAACTTGTTCATATCTGTTACCAACCATATTTATAGCCCCTTACTCGAAATAGCCATTTCTAGCTGTTGGGGGTCATTAAATGCTCTGCAGGATGCAAAGCTCGAGCTGCAGGATTGTCAGGAGAACCGGCTTAACTTCCTAGAGCTGGCTCTGTAGAGCTGATTTACACTTCCAGAGCCGGCTATCCGGGTTTGCACCCCATTCTGTTTTCCTCGAGAGTCAATTGCAAAATTTTGAATCGGCTTTGGAACTCCGACTTTAAATACATTAAATATTCTTCAAATAAGTCGACCGTTGTGCAGTAAATGTGCCCTCACAGCCGGCTACAAAGTGGGAGCTGGCTCTACTTCCATTTTCCGCGCACGCCAAAATAGCAATTGAATTTCTTGCCTGTAGAGCCGGCTCAACAAAATCTGCAGCCGGCTCTCTGCATTTTTGCTTCCCAGAGCCGGCTGCAATTTTCTTAAGCCGGCTCTCTGCATATTTTTACCCTTTGAGCCCTTTTTAATTCAATCTCATTTTGCTTACTTTGCAGTATATTAGCAATTTAACTACACACTTAAATAAATCAATTAGTCACTCAAATGTGTTTTGTAATCATCAAAATCATAGGTACAACACTTTCTTTATTGGTGCTTTGGCAGGTAATGTGGGGTCCATTTGAGTGGATTTAACACATTTGAGTCACGAGAACATGACATGGCAAAACGTTTTGTCTATATCATCACTTTTTTAAATTTTGCTCTCTTCATCATCAAAAAAAATATAAAAAATGCCACATGAGTGGAGTTAACGGCCTAAATTGACAGAAGAACTAATGGTGTGCATTTCTTAAAGTTGAGGGATCAAAAAAGTACAAAAAAATTGTTGAGGGACTAAAAATGTGCAACTCACTAAAGTTGAGGGACCAAATTTAACATTTAACCTTAAAAAAACCAAACAAAGTAATTATTAAGTTAAGTAAGTAGTTGATTTAGCCCGCCACTTAGAAGCTTGCCCTTGTAGTCAAAGTAGTAAAACTCCCATTGATATTGGAAGAAATACTAACATTAAGACACAAAATAAGAAAAATAAAAGGGTTTTTCTATGGCATAGGTTAAAATCCTCAAAAAATAAATATTTATATTTAATTTATTATTCATCCAATTAAATTTATTTAAGTGACAATAACTTTAAAATTAATATCAATTTTTATAATTTTCTATATATATTTAAAACAAAAAGATACTAAAGGTACAAGGTTAAAAAAATACTAAATAAAAAAAATAGAAAAGAAAAGGAGAGAAAGAAAGGAAAGATAACAGCAAGGCAAGAATGACTGGGAATTTGATAATGCCATTTAATTTTGGAAAGGAATTGCATCACTCCATTCATCAATACAAGAACAGGAAATACCTTTCTCCTTCCCAAACCCATCTCGACCTACCAATTTCTAGTTCTGTGTCCGACATCGATCTTGCAACTGAGATTAATTCAACCGATTCTGCACTATATCTGGTGAGGAGGTTATGGTATTTTTCAAGATTCGCAAAAGAAACCCGAAATGATACATCTTCGTAAGTATAGCCAGCATGTGGATTTACAGCCTTGATAACCAAGTCGGCTTTCTCCTACAGCTCCAATGCAAGTTCTAAGGTTACCTCAACTTCTCCCACTGAAGGCCGTTCATTTGGATTTGGATGAATACAACTAAGAGCGGTCTCCGCAAATTCTATCAAACACACTGGTGCTATCTTCCCTTTCAGAAATGGATCAATCACATCATGAACAAAGCCGTTTTTTATGCATTTAATGATCCCGGAAATCAAGTCGTTGTCCCCGGAAATCAAGTCCTTGAGTTCTGCCGCGGTGTCAGCCATCCTTCTACCACACAATACTTCCAACAGAACAATACCTAGTGAGTACACGTCAGCTTTTTCGCTGAGTTCACCACGATAGCACTCTGGAGCGATATAGTTAGGGGTACCTGCTGCTTCTATCTTTTTTGTCAAAGCGTTGGGCTTAGGCTTTGAGATGCTAGAGGGACCAATCGTGGATAACCCAAAGCCTGAAAGCTTAGCATCCCAATTTTCGTTCAGACGAATATTCCGAGGCTTGACATGGCGGTGAACTATTGCATACTTTGCACCTGTGTGAAGGTAGTGTAATCCACGCGCTACCCCAATGCATATCTCTAGTCTCCGCTTCCATGGGAGTGGACCAGCATTCCCAAAAAGATGACTATCCAATCCCCCACGGCTCATATGTTCATACACAAGTATCATCTCACGCTTCTCGTCACAAAACCCGAGGAGAGAGACAAGATTCTGGTGGCACAGCTGGCTGATCAACTTTACCTCATTTCGGAAGTCTTCAACTTCTCGTCCGACTGAGCTCCTCCAGCGTTTGACAGTAACAACCAAGGAGCCGCCATCAATGAAACCTTTGTACACTGGGCCAAAATAACGTGTAGCGATTTTCAAATCATCATCAAAGTTGTTGGTGGCAGCTTGGAGCTCAGCTAGTGAAAATTGACGACATAGTCCCTCTGAAAGTGCTGAAGGTTTTCTTCTCCTTTCTTTAACTGATGTTTTCTTGAGAAATTTGAAGAAATTTTGAAGAGACATTGAGTTGTGGGTTTCTTTTTGATAAATGCAGCACGGAGGGGGGCCAATTCTGCATCGCATTTGTATTATGTCGGTCTTAATTTCCTTTTATTTCATAGTTACTGAGTCTGAAATCACAAACTTTTGTCTTTGACTGCTTTTCCCAACCCAACTGCTTCAATTAACATGAAAAATATAGGTAATTTCCAAGTAGGTAGGTCCCTGATAGTTGCTTTCTTGTTGAAGAGTCAAGGAAACTGAAGTTTTTGGGGGTTCTATACTTCTATGTTTCTTCTCTTTTACTATTTGGTTTGAAAGCAATTTTCATTTCACATATATACTAGATAGTAGATCACAAGTTAACTGGTCAAAGAAAAAATGACCGGTAGTAGCAATAGTTGTAATAGCTTTGGAAAAGGTATGGAACACACCAACGAGGGGTTGGATCAAGTGGTAAGCGGTTTGTTCCAGCTTAAGCAAGGTCTTGAGTTCGAGTTCTTGTGTATGCAGCAGCCTTCGTTGGGAGAATCACCCACCATTTTCAGGTACGCGGCCCGGATCGGATCCGGATTAATCGGGGTAAAGTCCCGGATACCGAGCGAAAAATCGAAAAAGTATGGAACACTGCTACTTGTACAATGGTCAAGCCTTAGCCTGAATAAATTAAATGCCATTTTAGCCTTGTCTCTCATCATTTACAGTAAAAATAGACAAAATTCTAAATGATAAATAAAGGAAAGTATCCTTACTCAAATATTCATCGGCTAATATCATTGACGTTCCCCATGCTGACAGGCTGAAAAATCTTGGACCTAACCCTCTTTATAAACCTTTCCAACCATCATCTGCAGTTAGGGTTTTTACTACTTGTGTTGTAGAGGGTCGTTTTAGGCTAAAAGGGTACCAAAACTACATCGTTTTGATCCACTCCAGTCAAAAATGTCGATCAGCCTGACAAGTGTTACCTATCAGACAGGTGGCAGGCGACATACCATGTTCTCACCAAGCCATTGGATTTTGATCTTTTTATTTTTTTCAAAAATTTTTTAATTCAAATTTTTTATTTAAATTGTGTAAAATATGGGTAAAATAAAATAATAATTATGCGATTATTTAGAAAGTTTTGTGTAGAAATATGCTTTGGAGCGAAGCTGTTGCTTTAATTGTTTTATTTAAGAATTAAATATGTAAAAATATAAGTTTATGTATAATAGTATTAACTGTAATGATGCAATATCTACATGAATTTTTTAATTATTCCCATTGTACGTGCTCTTAATTTCTTTGATATCTGTTTTTCCGCGTTAACAATTTCAAAGTCATAAATGATCCTGAAATCACTAAATTTTGTCTTTTAAGTGCTTTTCCTAAGTAGATAGTTTTCATGTTGGTCCCTGCTAGTTGCTCATGGTCAAGGAAATGGCAATTTGTCAAGTCGTTCCTGCACATACCCATACGTAACGTTTTGCGCGTTCATTCTTGAGGCTAAGGAAAATTATGTGATGAAATTTTAGAGCATCTGACGAAGTCTATCTTTCTTTTCATGTTGATTTCTTTCGTTTGGTTTGAAAGCTACAGGAATGCTACCCTTTATAATTCATTAGTGTTTACCAACGATGTGACTGCATTTTTCAGTCGGTTGCCTTGCTGATGAGGTTAAGAGACAACGTTCTTGCGTTAAATTGCCTTGTCTGTCAACATTATAATAACTTTAATTCATATTATTGGAAATTAATAAATTAAATGAAAATGGCTTTTGCTAAAAAATAAAAAGCCTCTTCTACTAATTTACTTATATTACTGACATAGTTTAGTGTACAAAATTTTTATTAATTTTAATAGAAAAATAATAAAAAAAGTAAAATTAAAATTAAAACAGAATAATTATAGTCAATAAAACACTTTTACAATAGACTATATAAATTATTAAAATATATTGTGATTTTTGTTATAAAAAAATTTACCAAAAAAAAAGTTAAAATAGTATGCGATAAAAGTTACAATTTCTCCGATAGTAAAAGGAACTTACTATTCTCATAAAATTAGTTTTATCTCAAAATTAATTTTAAAGATATAAATTTATAAAAGATATAATTGAAGATTAATTTAATTAAATAAAGTGAAATTACTATTAAAAATTAATAAATTAGATTAAATAAAAATAAAATATGAGAGATGAATTTAAAAATATCTAAATATAATAAACCAAAAAAATTATTAAATTGTTTATTAAATTAAATCTAAATGAAATATGTGCAAAAACAAAGTTAGTGATTTATTGGGTGAAAAAGTTTATACATGTGATTTAAAACCTTAA